GGGAAAATCTCAGCATGGAATATGTTACCGGGAGGTCATCGTACTTGATGATGGATTGCGGGCCTGAGAACCATGCGTCGAGCAGCTCGCGGCACGTGCGGTTGTCACCCCTTGCGAGGATTTCAGCCTCTTGAAATTTGAAAATACAACCGAGTCCCGTCGAATTAGCCGTCACCTGAAAGCTAACGTCTCCCCGCCTCACTGCTGTGTGTGAGACTACTTTCAAAACTGAAAATTATCTAAGCTCTCGGCTGAAAATGCTGTTATCTTTTGCAACCCAGGTAGAGTTGTTGTGAAGTCTCTGGGAGCTTCTGATCTCCCATGCGACCTCAGTGCTCACTTGCATCAACGGGTGCGCTAGGCTGCTGCTACTGCGGGCTCGAATATCAAATGCGGTGACTGGCTCAGTGCCAAGTTAGCCGTCGATCATTGGCTCTTGCTACTAATGTTCACACTGTCACCACTGGCAGGCCCGACAACAACTTATATCAGAAAAGGCCGCCTCCAAAATCTGTCGCTCAGACTTGGGACTCTCATGACTGCTTGCTGTCGCTTTCCCTCCCTCCCCCCCCCCCCCCCCCAAGGGTTATTAGATTTCCTTAAGGTGGCCTTCAACTCAACACACAGTCCTTATCGCAGGTCGCTCCAGGGCGGCGGAGCATGGGGCTGCCTAATAATCTTCACTACCAGCCGCACACGCGCGAGCCAGCCAATCAGCGCGCCCCTGGTCTCATGTGAACTTCATTGGTGCCCAGTGAGGCTGTTTGCACCAAACACGAGCGTCTACGATGAATGCCCAGCTGTTTCTTTTAAATGTCACATCCACTGCCTCTGTCTGTTGCTGTTTCTGGTAATGGGTACAAGTATGGATCGGGAACGCCGGACGAATAAAATTCCTGGGCCGGTGATCGAGTCTCCTTCTTAAAGTTGTGCTTTTCCATTTCTGTTTGTCTTCTACATCAGATGAACATAACTAAGGATCATGATGGGTTATGGGAAGAGAGTGTGGCAGACACTCATTTTCGGCACTTTTTCATGACTTCATCGAGTTTTCTTAAACGGTCGACTTATCTGAATTCATGTGGCTAGAAAAAAAACTTCAGATCTTATCATTTAATCGACAGTGAACATTGGACGAACACAGACAAGACCTTCCGAGTATTCTATTGAATGTCGGTTTGTCAGAACATTTTCGTAATATAGAAACGGCTGCCATATGTGCTCAGAGGAATCTGTGTAGGCCTTAGGTTTTCCTACTCGACATACGTTTAATCCATCAAATATTACATATATTATCCGTCCTACCCCCTCGACGCTTTCCACGAGGATATCACCTCTGGCCTCTTTATTCAAGGACCAAATCACTCCCGCACACCCAGAACCCCTTAGGGATCCCCATTTGTCTACGAAAATTCTTATCTTTTGGGCTAAAAATTCTGTTAAATAAGTAACTGGCACAGGTGCTAACTCATAGGCCCGACACGTGTTTCGCCTACATTCTGCTCTTGCAAGACGCAATTTAGAGAGAATGGAGGCGAAAGTTCGAGTTCCAAGTGTATGTGAAGCCTGATCGAGCACCGAAACGTTCTGTTTATTAAGTGAAAACGGAGGGTGGTCGAGCACAGGAGCATTCTCTTCATTGTTCTGAGTTTTCGAACTCGTGCAGGAGGTCATCATCAGAGATAGTAGCAACGGCAGAACAAGCGGCATCTATAGGGTGTGTTAGCCAATCACCGACCGACTGCGCAAGACTAGAGGTGACTGCGTAGGAGCTTGGACGCCGGAGACAGATCGATAAACCAATTGACTGAGTTCTCATCTGAGGCCCAGAGCCCTGCGCAGTCGGCCGATGATTGGCTAACACGCCCTATAACTGTCTCTTGATTTGTTGCCGCTACTATATTTGACGATGAACCCCTACACGAGTTCGAAGGCTCAGAACAGTAAACGGAATGTTCCTGTGTTCGACCACCCTTCCTCTTCATTTATACATGCACCTGGAACCTGAACTTTCGCCTTCACTCTGTTTATTGTTCTGAGCTTTCGAAATCGTGCGGGAGTCCATAGTCAGTGATGGTAGCAACAACAGAACAAGCGACGGTTATAGGGCGTGTTAGCGAGTCATCGATAGGTGGCGCAAGACTGAAGGTGACTGAACAGAGTTCTGTACGTCGGTACCAGATCGATAAATCGACTGACGATGGACTCCTGCACGAGTTCGGAAGTTCACAACAATAAACAGAATGTTCCGGTGCTCGACCACCCTTCTTCTTCTTCTTCTTCTTCTTCTTCTTCTTCTTCTTCTTCTTCTTCTTCTTCTTCTTCTCCTTCTTCTTCTCCTTCTTCTTCTTCTTCTTCTTCTTCTTCTTCTTCTTCACAATTTAGAGGGGTTCGACTCCTCATTGCGTCCCTAGCGTTCCCTGTGTGCTTTTCTGGTATATACTTCATGTCTTTTGGGCCAACCATGCCAGCAAATGAGTAACTGCAGTAGCCATACCCGCCTTCTTTGTCATTAATGTTACTAGATGCACTCCACGTGGGCTGAGCGGAGTTAGAGCTGAGGCATGATCCAGTCTCTGCCAGGATAGAGGCTCGACATAGAGCACTTTAACTTCGAGGCGGAATGTTAAAAGTGATGGTGAAGTGAACCAGATCGACCTACCTTCCCCCAACCTGCGTCTTCCCTTTCACTCCCTTCTCCCTGTGCTCACTACTGTGTTGCCGCAGGATTATTTCTGGTAGCAAGTCACAAGGGGCGAACTTCTAGCGCAGCCTTTATGGCATCGTGTTGGAACTAACCAACCCAATTCTAGACTACAAACCTCCCTGGAGGGGACGGAATGACGATCTCAGTTATTCCGGCAGTCACTTTCTTGTGGTTAGACCATCTTCACTCCCCTTTTTTTCCTTGCCGCCAATGTAGTTTTGGCCTCCCTGTTAAGCCGGTTTGCTCATCTGACGCGCTCAAGGGGAACCAATAACGATAATTAGCCGGTCGTCATCCGGGAAGGCCACCGGGACCCCTGAAAGCAGTGGCCACCTGCATGTTGATTGGTTTATAGTCGTGGGTGTCAGCGTAGTGCCTGCCGCGCTCCATGTTCCCTCATCCTCTGCGTTCTAAGAGTACTACCCGGTGGAGGCTGCCAGTGCATTATTATGAGAACGGGGTCGAGTAAAACATGTGAGTGATGAGGGGAATCAATAGAAGTTCGTCTTTTCGCACAAATTGGGTGTGGGAATATGGGGGAGGAGGTAATAAGAGGAAATGAGACCTAGGGAAGAAGTATATGCAGTTAGCTGACCGTTGGCCATGGTAAATGCGGAGCTTGCACGAGGTTCTTCTGGGCGCAAAAGATCGGCTTCCGTAACCAGATGGTAACCGCCTCCGGAGTTGCTAGCAAACGCTGACTCCAGCAGTCTGCCCCTGGCGCATCCACTCACTCATGTTGCTTTTCCGTCTGCCCGAGGCCATCTGTCAATCCGCCGCTGGAACCGCTTACGAAGTGGTACCAGCCTGCGAGCGTCCGAAGCCAATTAGCGCTGCGCCTTACATGACTGGCTGCAGGTGAACACAGCTCTGACACGCGCATGCACACTTGCACAGCCTCAACACCACAGACACATGTCTGGTGAGAACGTCAGTTGCAAGTGCTTGCAGCGCTGCGTACACACTCTTGGCTCCAGTAAAAGATTGTCCACGTAAGTTTATTCCCTGTCTCCCGATTCGGGTACATTCAAGATGTCGACCACCACCTTCTACAGGGCGATGGGACCTTATAAATCGCACATAGTGCTTCATCGCGGTCTACGCGATACGCGGAATTGACGAAATGAGCGGGGATGGCACCGCCTATGCCCCTAAGTCCGCCTTTTCTCGGTCATGCCGGGAGGCGTTCGCCGTAGACTACTGCTAGGCGCCGACTTGTGGGAGTAATATAACTTACTCCACGGGAGCATGTAAAGAAGCAAATGCACATTGAGGTGGTCCGAGCTCTCAGCTTATCCTTGCCTTCTCCGTGTAAAATAGGACTTGTCGGGAATCATAACCGAACTTTTGCTGCTGGGAAGGTTCATGTAGAATTCTTGGTAAATTGAGTCACGCGTATAAGCCAAAACAGATTTCGGTGTGTATACGATACGATTGACAGAAGAAGGTAACAATAGAAAACGTACAAACCTCAACAATGGATACTCTAGACAAAGAATTCCTTTGTTACTGTTCGAGCAAATCGAATTCCCAGCTCAAGGTCAGAATACAAAACCCAGTTAATTAAAAGAACGCTAATCACGCTCGAAAGAGGGTTACAAAAAGGAAAAAAGTGTCAAGAGAGGCCAAATGTGTAAGCACTTGCGAGGAGGGCGTGGAGGATTCCAAGCGTTGACCAGCTGGATACAACAGTTCATGAAGCAGCTTTGCCAAGGAAACTCCTCAGGAGTTCGTCCACCGCGCTCCTCCGAAATTCGACTTCGAAGAGCCGGGTTGTCCTTTCTGCTGTAGGCGTGATGGGTTTTGCTGGTCTCACGATAAATAACTAAATCTGTCAGGATGTCCGCTCCTGCTAGGCAGGTTCTGGTTACTGAGACGAGAGAGCGTACATTTAGCGCAGCAGGGGAATGCCACAAGCCGCCCTTTCAGACCTTTGTGAATTGTGGTTGTTGGGCTTCAGAGGGCGCGTGTGTGGGCCTTGACTCTGCCCACCTGCAACCAATCAGCGAAGAACGCAACCCTGGCTGACCTCGAGCACTCGCTACGCTGATACCAAGTCTCATGGGACTGAACCCAGGGAGCGCGGGGCGGACCGGAAGACGTCATGACTGAGCGGCTGTGCTGGCGATCGCGGAAGCAGACTGCCACAACATTATCCATCTGCGGCCAATCAGCGAAGACAAACTGTCGATCGGCGTTACGACGTTGCCACCTCTGTTGCTACCCTTTCCCCCAAAAAAGCGTCAAGTTGCTGAGCCAGAAGTCAGGGCAATATCGTTTGATAACTGCAAATCCAGACAGTTGTATTGATTTCGTAGCTTGAAAGTTACCAGTCCCACAGTGCTCTCCAAACAGACCGGTGTAAATCTGACGAAAAGAAGTGCTCATACTACTGAAGAGTGCGGATACAGGTAGGAAGGAGAGTCCGCTGGAACAGGAGACTCATTCGCCGGACAGCGGCGATCGAATATGTAGGCCTTAGTTCTTCTTACTATTACATGCCTGCTTATCTGATTTACGTTGGCGTGTTATATGAAAATTATCTTTCTGGTTAAGCTTAAAAATAATTGCATTTACGGTTGAGAGGATGGTTTGTGTTTACGGTTAGGGAAAATGTTGGGGTTGGGGTTTGATTTGCCTGCCGCATGCCGTCTTACCCAATCCGCGCTTCTTTAGCCAATAGCCGGTCTACAAGCCTCTACTTTGCATATTTCGAATCGCACGGTCTGTTCCGGCACCTCGTTGGAGTAATAAAACAAACGTATGGCAGAAACGCGAGTTTCCTTTTTGCCTTCCACGGATTCCGTTAACTGATAAAACGAATATCAACATCCTTCCCATATCATAGGAGCCCTTGGGCCTTATTTACTCACTGGGCTTACGCATCCAATCCCCGCCCATTTGACATTTTAGATTCACTCTCGAACTTAACATCAGAGACAGTAACAGACAAGGGTAGTGAGTGTGTAGCGCCTCAAACGAGATTAGGCCTCCTGCCTCTGGCACCCACGCCGTGCTAGGAGTCGTGTGATCGCAACTCGCGAGTGCCAGAACGTGAGCACATTCAGCTCCGCGGACAGCCAATCACAGGCGTCCACAAAAGCCACTCTCGCCCAATCGGCTGACACTAACTCTCACGTGACGCTTATTTACTCGCGCCCACGTCACTCTAGCGCCCGGACGTGTGTGGGCCTGCAGCCGGCCCGCATCGGGGGCTTCTGTACTACTTCTACTCATGTCTTTCCCCTTCTCCTCTAAAGCGCGACTGGGCCGTGGTTATTGTGGCGCTTTGAGAACACTCTCACCGCCTAGACGCAAGAGGTGTTCAAGGGTTGTAGTATTATAGGGTGTATTTACCACGTCACCGCATGCCTGTCACAACAAGAATCTTCTTGACTCTGACCAGGCAGGGGAGGAGAGAGTGTGATAGATGCGCGGAAAGTCTACTATCGGTATAAATGTTATAGATGACGTTTCTGGCGGGCTTTTGAATTTGAGCCGCCATTTTTTGTAGTCCTCCATTCACGTGTTGATTTTTATAAATTGTACATTACTGTGCCTATTTCCCCTCGATATATTGAACTGTTTTGCATCCCTTATGTGTCTGAACCAAGATTATGAGGTTCAGTTCAGTTCAGTTCAGTTTATTGAGGGAAATAGGCGTAAGCCTTTGAGTACCCTATTTGCAACGTAAAAAATGTGTGGTGTACAGATAGATGTTCTGGGCTGAAATAGGTCGAACACGCCCATAATGGTGGGACAAAATGAGAAGGAGTTACAGGGGGTGAGCTCGACTTCTCATCGCTCTTGGTAATTTCGGAACATAAATATGTCCAGATTCTTCTTAAAACTTTGTATAGATGGTGACATCACAACATCTGCGGGAAGCTCATTCCACGGTTTGACCACCCGAAACCGAGAAGGAGAACTTCCGCACATCCAGCCGTGCCTGCTGAGTGCGCAGTTTTAACGGGTGACCTCGGAGGTTGGTCGTGGTAGCAAATTCAAAAAAGTCCTCGAAGGCCAGACTGCAATCCAACCCCTTTACAATGCGGAAGGCTTGCAAGAGATCTCCGCGAAGTTGCCTGTAACTCAAAGGAAAGAGGTTCAGATTTACTAGGCGGGTCGCATAAGGAAAGGAGCTTTGACCCCTGACCATCTTCGTGGCTCTCCTCTGGACTCTTTCGAGGCAGTTTTGATCCACAACACCCCACGGCCTCCAAGCTTGTATGCCGTACTCTAAATGCGGCCGGACGAATGTTCCGAATGTCTTAGAGAAGGCATCTTCGTCAAAGTCCATAAACGCACGCTTGATGGCGTACAGTACGGACATTGCGGTTTTTGCCACCCTCGAACAGTGGGCGGATGGTTTTAGGGAACTCGTCGTAAGCACACCGAGGTCCTTTTGGGCTTCGACCTCTTGTAGGGCTGCACCGCCCAGATAGTAGCCTCTTGTGCTGGCGGATCTGGCTGTGTTGCCTAGGCGAAGTATGCTACATTTGGCAACGTTGAACCGCAGGAGCCAACGGTTTGACCACTCCTCCAACCGATTCAGGTTCATCTGCAGTCTGTCTTCATCGGCAGGACCACGAATTACACTCCATATCTTCATGTCGTCCGCAAACATTGCTACTTCACAGTCCAAATCTCTTGCGGCATCGTCCACGTAGATAAGGAACAAAATGGGTCCCAGTACTGAACCCTGGGGGACACCACTCTACAGTACGCTAGCACCCTTTTGAAGGGAGTTAAATCGTCTATTTCACTAACGAATGTCCATGATGCAAACTGCTGCACTTTTCGGCCAATATGTCGTATTTGCGATCGTTCTGTGCTAAATTTACCAAATTTACGTCAACAAAGGCGTATGCATCGGAAAAAACACCGGTGTGGCTGGCAACTCGCATTCAAGCTTCAGCCAAGGAACAAATCGTCAATTCCTGGCTCCTTGTCGACAAATTGTCGTTCTATTTTCAAAAAAGCCCACGATTTGGAGCTACTTTTGTCGAAAAAAGAACATAGAAGAACTGAAGTGGTTTGCCTTCAAGAGACCTGGTTAAATGCTGACATTGATTCGCAACTTATTACTCCTCCATCTTTCTACTGCTTTCGAACGGATAGAAAATCTTTATCTTGTGGCAGAGGTGGAAGCGTTGCCATTTTTTAAGCAAAATTGGTGTAGAGACTTCGGCACTATCCTACAACGACATTTCAATACGGTCAAACAATTTGCTGGTCGGGTTATAGATGACGTTGCCCATCCCTTGCATTCTGATCTTATTTCTGCGAAGTCTTCCCGCCCGATGCGTCGCAGCTTCCGACTTATGTCTAGTTGCACATCGGCTTTTCGAGCTTCTGTATTGCCATTTCTGGCGCGCTATCTTACGTGTGAAGAGATAGAAATACCGAAGCAAAGACTTGAACTGTCCCCATAGTAATCGTCCCTTTTGTGTTAAACTCTTCAACTCTTGAGTAATCTATTAACTTATTTACTGCCTATAGTGAATGGAGCCAATTTTTACTGAACATTTTGAATTTATGATTTCAAAATAAAGCAAATTCCTCTCTCCCTCTCTCTCATAAAAGAAATCACACACATGTCACCGTTCCTGCTATAACTCTGCTGAGGAGAACACGTGGACATCGTCGGCCGAGCTGTCATCTGTATCATCCTGAACAACAAAGACATCTTTCAAATACTTACATTTTCACATGAGTGCGAATGCCTAGAGTCATTATACTTTTGGGGTCATCAATGGCCTTACCTGTAGCCTGCGAATACACACATGATAGTTTGACCGTGCATAACGATGACGTCCGTCCTCGCCAAAAAAGGCCGGCGCAGGGGGTGACTTTTGAGCGAATGTATCTATAAGCGGGGCGGACTTTCATTGCACCTACCTCAGCCCATCTTCCAAACTCGCCCCTGCTCCGATGGCGAGACAAATAAAAATGATCGGACCTGGGCGTAGGCAAAACTAGACAACCCCACCTGCGTGTGCCACACACGAGTCCGCCCTCCGCTTGTGCCAGATTACCTCAGAAGGCATGTTTCTCACGCGACATGGATGTGCACATTCCCACAGGCGACGTTGTATGATGTGCTCCTGCTTGTGTGATCGAGTAGGCTCACGTGGAGCCTAAGAGGGCTTGTTTGTGCAGGTAATGTCAGAGCGTTTTGAAGAGGTCTGTCCTGCGTCGTCTTACCGGCGATTGCTATGGCGTGTGCAGCACGTAATCCTGGGTAGGTGTACGTCGCCGAACTGCGGTGTGGTGGTTCGCCTAGATGTACGGGTTTTCGACGTGCCAGCCACTGGCGCCCAGTGTGTGTTGGGGTGGAGTGGCAGACTGAGGGTCAGGCTGGAATGGCTACTATGGCCTCTATTCACTTCCACCAAATGGGATCCGAGTCGCCCTTCGCCCAATCTTTCCGTGTTGAGTAAAATCCTGGGCAAGCGTCCGTTGTGGACCAGTGGATGTGAAGTGGAGCGTCAAGGTGCAGGCTTCGCCGTGCTAGAAACCTGCGTCTTCTCCCCGCGACCGGTTTTCTTGAATCTGTCTGGATACGGGATCCAGGCTGGGGAAGGGGAGAGGAGGTGTGCGACAGATTCTGCACAAGTCCGCTGTCACCATAAACTAATTCACGCGCAAGTCAGCTTCCCCGCTCCCACCCTGCTGTTAAGCATACGGTGGACATAATCAGGCATGATTGTCGAACTATTGTCATGTGTTTATGCGTGTGTGAAAGTCAAGAACCTCTTCACATCACTCAAGGCGATCTGCGGACCCCCAACTAAAAGACACGAGCTATTTCTCAGCTCCAATGTAACAACACATCTGACGGAGAAACCACGGATGTTGAAACGCTGGGGCGAGCACTACGGAAGCGTCTTAGACTGTTCATCAACCCTCTCCGACGCCGCCATCGACCGACTACCCCAAGTTGAAAAGAATGACGATCTCGATCTCACGCCGCAGTCGGCAAAAAGGTGACTACTTAATTAGCATGCATTTTCCCATTAATTTTCGATGATCTCATAAATACAAATATATTTTATAGAAAACATGCACATAAATATGCTTTCTCTATCTCGTTTAGTAGACCATCATGTTGTCTTCATATTTTATGTCCGAAGAAGGGGTGTATTTAGGTCGTGAAA